TGATGTGCTAAAAAGTACCAGATGACCCTCAATTAAACATTAATAAATATGTTAAAGTAGTGTAAAAAGTGTCTTGCTTCCTCCAAAATAGAGTGAGAGGATGGTTTGTGTTTCTTTTGTTGAATATTATGATAAAAGCAAGGTAGATCTTTACGTTGAGTATCTATTATCAATTCAGGCACATTACTGAAAGCTTTGCTTTGTTGACTGCTTGTTAACGTCTTCCTTGGTTAATTTTGAATTTGTTTATCATTCAGCCATATTTATAAAATGTGACCAGTACTTCTAATGTTATTACTACCCTACCAGTCATATGGCCAGTCAACCACATTTATTCAGCACCCACTGCGTGCAGCACACTGCCTATAATGCTGGCCTTAAGATTGACCCACAAAGCCGAATGATACTGACAGTGTCTGCAGAAAGGGCTCAAAGTTTAAAAGAGAGAAAAGCCGGGGGAAAGTGATCCCAGCCAAGTAGAGAGGAACGAGAGAGGAGGTTCTTAGAGGCACAGCGGGACCCACACATGTGGGGGACTTAGAGCGGAGAGTCACTATTGCAGTGTCTATAGCACCTGCTTATCTATTTATGGTTTAAAAGACTCTTCTTTGAAATACGTGTGTGCTTATAAGAAAGTCACATGTTTAGTTAAAAAAAAAGCTTGCATTTCTTCCTCATCCCAAGTCGCAAGGGAACACACATCATACCAAGCCTTTTCCTCTCCCCTTGACTTCAGGCTTCAGCCTCATGTACCACCCCTGGCAGGACCCAGGTGTGTGTCCCCAAAAGTGATCTCCCCAGCCACAGGCCTGCAGCCTCCCTGTCACAAAGTCAAAGAGCTAACACACACTTCTGCCCTGGCTGCACCTCCATTGACCCGGGCGATGTGCCTTCCCCTGTGTCTCAGGACGAGATAGTGTGTGGCTGTCCAGGCTCTGTGGTCCCTCCTACTTGGAGCGATTCTTCCACGCTTACTCTTTTGTGGACTTCTATGACCTTGAAGGTTTTAAGGAGTGAAGACCTCACATCCTGTTGGACAACCTGCAATCTGGGTCTGTGTGATGCTTCGGGGCCTCCTGGAAACACTGCTGTGCATTCTTAGGATCTCACACCCTGCACCTTGCAGTGCAGACCTGTCCTTCCATCACGGAGGTCACTCACATCCCCTGGACCCAGGTGTCCTCCAGGTTTTCCACTCTAAAGTCTCTGGTACTGACCTGTCATCTAAACTTCCCTGGGTTCCTTGCCCACCCCCGCCTCCCTTTCCTTTCACCAGCCAGGGCGGTGTTAGCACAGTTGCCTGGGTCCTCTTCTGTGCCTTGGGCTGACCTCACCATCGTCTTTACCGGTTTTGACTTCTATTTATCCTGCTTTGGCCATATGCGCACCTTCAGGTGGCGCCTGTGCTCTGTCTCAAGTCCCCCAGTCTTCCAGCTCTTCCTAATGCTTTGGTATCGGATATTCCAAACTCATCCTAGGGAGCCCCTGCTGCACCCCAAGGGTAAGCCCTTTCTCCAGGTGGCTCTAAGTCCTCCCTGGAGGACAGAGTTTAGGATCCAGACCTGGGCTTGCTGCTGGTTGCTCTGGAGGCTTTGTTGTTTTGAGACCATCTCAGTAGAAAAGATAGAAAACACATGGGAGTGAAAACGGATAAAATGAGAATATGTGGGAACACAGCACATAGGCATCTGCAGCTGTTTCCACGTCTGCCCATGAGTCTGTGGTTCGGACCAGCCGCTCCGCTCAGTTCTGGCTTCCCTCCTGCTCTGAGCCTGTAAAGACCAGGCTGGCGTGACAGGCAGGAGGTGCTTGTGGTGCTGCCAGCGCTTGCTGCCAGGTCCGTTCCTGCCTTTATTCATCTGAGGGCTGGACAGCCTGGTAGTCGGTGCTGCGTGGGGGCTGTGGGAGGGGATTGGGCACCCGGGGCCCTGTCCCTGCAGAAGTGAGGATGGCCTGGCTTGCTGGAGGCAGTGGGAACACAGAGGAGGTGTGTGAGGGAGACAGACACCACTGGGGAGAGCCACTGGGGCATGGATATGCAGGAGGACCAGGAAAGGCCCCAGACAGAGCGACAGGTGGGATGGGATGGTGTCTTTGGAAGGAAAGAGTTTGATCTTAGATTTGACAAGTTTTGTGGTTTTCTATTCATGCTGTCCACGAAAAGGATATGAATTTGAATAAACAGATGGGGACCTCTAAACTTCGATTTTATCAGATGAGCTTTTACTCTGATCCCGTGGCAGGTGACAGGCACAGTGACGCAGTGCCGTAATGCTCATGGACACCGAGGCCTGGGGACAGGAGAACTGGCAGGCAGACTGGGTCTGGAAGGCGCCTGCAAGGGAGCTGGGATCTGCCGAATGCGGAAGACTGACTTGGGCGAGATGTGGGCGGGAACAGCTTGAGAAGGAGCAGCAGCACCCCTGCTCAGCAGAGGGGAGAGCGGAGTGCTTCTCTGATTGCCAAAGTCCAGCCTGTGAGGGGCACCCAGAGCCTGGCCTCTGGTCACCACCTTCTTTTTACCTCCAGGTCCTGGCTACCCTTAGAGCTCGTGTGGAGATCATTGACCTTCTGAGTGTCCTGGCATCTGCTCTTCTACAAGGTTCCCAGGGGAGCAGTGGGGGGATCCCGTTAACTATGAGTTGGATCATGTACTCTCTGCTCAGAGCCGTTTGATGGCTTCCATTTCCCTTGGTACCAGCAAAGTCCATACAGTGGCCTGTGTGGCTCTGATGAGCAACCCCCACCCACTCGGTGCCCTTGGTTTGCCCACAGGACAGAGGTGTATACTAGCTCAGGGCCTTTGCACAGGTGGGGAGTGCCCTCTGCCTGGAACACCGAATCAGTACGCAGGATGTAATTTGGGGAGCTTGATGAGCTGCCTTTGGTAACATACGGGAGCAGGGTACTTCCTGTTGCCAATCAGTGGCAATGCTGGTGGTAAAATGGGAGCCCCAGGAATACATGGCCATTGAAAGCAAGAAGAAGAGGTACTTAGATGCCAGACATGGTCATTGACACTGTAGTGTTGCTGCTGACATTCCCATGCCTGTTTCTAACCACAGAAGAGTAATGACTTTAGAGGTCCGTACTTTCCCAGGTGAGAAGAGCATAGACTATCGCTAAGCATGGGATTTCCTGGAGTAATTTGCATTTCCCTGTGGAATTGGCTGTGAACATCACTTTTGCTAGCCAGTGTACCATTTGCAGTGTTTGATTTCAAGTGATCAGCTCGAATTCTCTGAGGATCTTCATCTGGGTGTGAGGGAGGTGAGGACAGTTTGGAGGATGTCGAATGGCAGATAGGGGCTGGGTTCTTTCCATGGTGGCAGTTCATTAACAGTCACGGATTTAGACATTTACTAAGTGAGAGGCATGATGCTGGATGCTTTGTGCAGATCATCTCAGTTACCCCTTAGAATACCTCATGAGAATACCTCAACAGTAGCTACTGTTACTAACCCCATTTGTTACAGATTAAGAGGCTGAAGCTTAGAAAGTTTAAGTGCCTTGGAGATCAGACAGCTAGAAACGGACAAGTTGGGTATAAGGAATGTTTTCTCCTAGCTCTTGTGTGATAGATATTGGCATGTCTTTACCACTACTTAGTGACTACTGATGGATTATGTTAGAATAGACAATTTAAGAACTTCATTGCTTTTCACTAAAGTTTCAGTTTTACAGAGCAACAGATAAAGTATAAGAAATAAGCCATGGGGTGTTTGGATGCATGGTGTTAAAGAAAGGGAACATCTGGGTGTGCTCCAGGAAGATCGGCCTGACCAGCCCTGCCATATGTTGGAAGGGTGAACCTGATAAACCCTGGGACTTGGTCTGAGCAGGTGACCTTTTCTAGTTCCTTAGAACGGACCTGTGCTACATCCTTTTAGGCTCTCTCTGGCTGTCGGTTTCAGTGCATTTGGCAAGTTTACTGGAAGATTCTCGGTGGACAGCCCCAGAGGGAGGGGCCTGTGGCCATAACACCCATCACTGCCTTTCCTTCAGCTGGTGTGTGCTGCAGGATGGGGATGTGAAGGGGAAAGAGAGCGCTCTGTGACTGGGGTTTGCCTGGCCTGTGATCCAAGGCTTTGTTCAGAGCAACCAGCTTGGGGAAGCACTGCTTGAATTTAGAACAGAGTCCCCTGGACATGGCCTCCTTGGGAAGTGACCTGCAGAGCCCTAGAACACGCAGGGCCTTTTGATCGAGGGTAGAGCTGGAGTGGGCAGAAGGTGCTCCCAGACAGCAGTGGCCTCCTGGGATCTTGGGCTGCCCCAGTTCCCCTGCCCTCGATCCCAGCAAGGTGCAGAGGTTCATGGTCATGGTGCCCCAGCCCAGCAACGACCACTGGGATGGAAACCAAGAGATGCAGCTTTACATCCAGTGTTTATTAGTTTTATAGGAAACTTTCCAAAGATTTTTTTAAGCTGCTGCTTATGAAGGTAAGTTCCCACTGAAGGGGATTCCAGTTTTCACAGCTTATTTTTTTATATTGTTTTACAGTGGTCCTGAATTTATGCCTTATCTCAGGAGACCTAAGGTCATTAAAGACAATCAGGAGACTGCTTTATAGTGGAAGTTGATATATGGTCATCACAGCTAGGAGGAATCTGAACATTGCTTGTGGCTCTGCTCTAACCCAAGAGTTACACCCTTGCAGGCCACGCCCCCAGTGACCAGCTTTTTCCAAGCAGAGCCCCTCCCTAAACCGAGCCAGCTGTAATGCCCTGTAATCCATCACCTTCCACAGACCCTGAGGCTCTGGGGGTCATCCAGATAGAAACCATAATAAGGGGGAGGGCCAAGTCATTGGTGTGACAGCAGGAGATGCTCAGAAGCTCAGGTGGTTTGTGTAGAAGACAAACGCTGGCCCAGAAAGCAGCCCTTCTGTGTGGCGTTGCTCTGGTGCAGGTCGGCTGGGCCTGGAAGGGGAGGCATGGGTTACCTGTTGATTCTGAGAGTCACGGTCCTCTTTTCCTCTCTCACTGCTGTTGATTTCCAGCTGAGATGCTGAGACAGAGATTGGAAGACCTGGAACAGGAGCAAGGCCACCTGTCTGTGGTGCTCCCATCCCTGCAGCCGGCCCTCAGCAGCTTCCTGGGCCACCTGATGTCACAGGCCCAGGCCACCCTGCACCGAGCTACTCAGCCGTGAGTACCTGGGGTTGCCACCTCTCCCCACCACTTTTATTCTTGCAGCAGAGAGCTGGGAAGGGTTGAGTGTCAAGACCCTCATCTGCTTTTGTTTGGGGAGGGGTCCTCATTTCAGGATCTTTTTCTATCAAGAAATATTCTCTGAATGGACAAGTTCTTACACGGTCCTCTTATAGCAGGTAACTCCACTTCTCCTCTCCCTCTGACACTGAGGTGTTGCATTGTCCCTCCTCCTTTTTCACAGGACCCCCTTCCCAACTGGATTTTCTACTTAATTCTTTTTGCTTAATTGTTGGAATTATTTCTTGCTTTCCACCCCAATTTACTTTGTCAATTTATTGTGTTTCTATTTATTTAACAAATATGTACAGAACAGTCATTAAGGGCTTTAGAAGTAACTAATTTAATTTTTACAATCTTCATTGCAGTGAAATACATAACATCGAGCCCAGCCTCGGCAACTTAGCAAAACCCCGTCTCAAAAACTACATAGAGCATTCACTTTTAAAATCATCTGTAAGTAGAAGAGCAGCAGCATTAAGTACATTTGCAGTGTGGCACAACCATTACTTCCTTCCATCTGCAGAGCGCTGTCATCATGCAAAACTGAAACTGTGGCCCCATTAACCTCTACCTCTGCACCCTACTCACTGCCTCCCGTAACCTCCACACTCGTGTCTGTCTATACATTTTACTTCCCCAGGGACCTCATATAACCAGAATCATCATCACGCAGGATTTGTCCTCTTATGATTGCCTTAGGATAATGTCCTCACCTTCTTCCATGTTGTAGCCTGCGTTAGAATTTCCTGCCTTCTTAATGCTGAATACTATTTCATTGTACAGACAGACCTTATTTGGTTTATGCATTCATTCATGCATGGGCAGGAAGTAACTCACTTAGCAGTCGCGGTGATTCTGGGGTAGTATTTTATATACGGATCGCCATTTGCACATAGAGATCTGTATCAACATCGTCTTCCCATGGCTGGGCCTAAGGAAGAGAAGCCCAGGTCTGGGAGAGACTGAGGGCTCGGCAGCCCCAGGGGTGGGTGCTGAGGCAGACCCAGCAGGGAGGTTCAGCTCTGTCTCAGCACTGGGCTGCTACTTCAAGGCTGAGCGCCAAAGGCTTCTGTTATTGTCTCTTTAGCCTGACATGCAATTTGGATGGAGAGTAATACTTTGCTATGGCCTTGGCTGGGTCCCTTATAGAATGTGGTTAATTAAAATAAGATAGTGTCCTATGTTTTCAGTGGTATTAGATTTCATCATGGGGCACTGCTTACATTTGACCATTTTGGGAGCTATCAAAATAGTGATCTCATGGGGTTCACCCTGGGATGTCTTCCCCACAGTGCTGGTCTTCGTTGAATATTTGTTAAGCCAAAATTGATACTGTCAGCTAGCACCTTTTCTCCCTTTCCTCACGGGAGTTACTCATTGCTGTGATTTATGTCCCACTCACTTTGGAGCCCCTGTGACCTGTGTTCTTGCTGTCACTCCCCAGAGGTCCACTGTGGTCAGCAACGGGCTTCTGGTGTTTGAACATGAGTGACATCTTCCATCCTTATTCTGCTTGGTGTCAGCGTCTGTCCCCGTAATCACATCTGTGCTTGGCCTCTGTTCTCCGTTCTGCCCTCTCCTGGTCCTGCTGCCTCCAGCCATCTCCTTGATCCCCACGCCAACACCCTTCCCGCTCTAGGCTGTGTTCTCTGCTCATTGAATGGGACCTCCTGGGCACCAGGTGCCATCTATACAAGGTCCCATTGGAGCAGCAGCTTCGCTCATCCCCTCTCCAGAAGGCCGACCCCCAGCTAAGCTTCGGTGGCACATCTCCCTCAGCTTCACGGGATTACCATTTTATCCATAAAAATGCACTCTCTTTTTATCCTTGCTTTTCCGAAGTTTACTATCTTTTCAAACCAACTTGGCCAAACTTACTGTCATTCTCGACATTCAGCGCTTGTCCAGTGTCCTGGCCTCGGGACCTGGCCCTGAGCATGGACCCTGTGAGGACTCGGAGGTGCCCCGCCCCTCCCTTCCCCACTCCCCAGCCTGCCTGCCTCTGAGTCCCATTGCCGCTCCTCCGAGCCTGGAGCCTTGCTCTCATCCCTGTTCCCTTCCTCCTCGCTGCCCCTTCCGTCTGGCAGGCGCTCCTGATCGCCCCCCGCCCCATTCCCCCGCTCCTGCTCACTGCCTCTCTAGGGCCACGATGAGGACCCTGGCTGTGCTCCGTGCTCCTGCTGCATTCAGTGTCAACTCCACGCTCTTCATAGATGCGCAGAGCTCTGCCCAGCCCTGTCGCATGGCTGTGAGTCCTCAGGTCCCCTGCACGTTTCCACGTCCACCGGCTCGAGCAGTACACTGTGACCAGCTCACTGCCCTCCTGCCAGGGCCTTGCCCACCAGTCATTCTTCGTCCTGTGATTCGTGGGAGCTCAGTGGCCGCGCCTCCATTTTAGGTCTTAAGTCTTTTTCCCAGAATGTGTTTCTCTGTGCCGGACGACAGCTCCCAAGGGCCGTTGTCACTGAGTTAGTGGCGGGGTTGCGTATGTGTGTACGTGGGATCGCAGACCGGTGTGACATGGGAGGCAGATGAAGAGGAGAGAGAGATTTCCTCAGGCCCCTGAGGCCCACTGAGCAGGAGCTGAGCTGGGGAACCTACCTTCAGCCCCGTCTGCTCCTATGCCCAGCTGCGCATGGCTTGGTGAGGCCCCCTAACCTCTGAACCTCTTACTCCCCTCATTGGAAAGTGAACGGTTGAGTTAGGTCCCTGTTTTCAATCCTCAGTTACTGATGTGTTGCTTTGGCTTTTCTTTTGACAAATTCACCTGTCCTGTTATTGCCATGCCTAGAAAATAATGACTTGAAATCCACTTCTTTATTACACCTTTATAATGCATGCTAACGTGATTATAGAGTTACTGTTATTGAAAGACTCCTGTCCTTGAGACACCGGCTGCTCCTGTGGCCCACGACATCCGCCCCCATTGGGGTTGTGGGACTGGCAGGTTTGGGGAGGCTGCAGTTCTCACAGTAGCCACCAGGGGGCCCCAAGACACAAACCTCAAGACACAAACCTTTCCCAGAACCTTGAGTCCTGGGAAACATGATATTTTCCAAAGAATGGTCCTTTTCCCCTGGAAATAAAATAGGTGTATTAACATGGCCAATTTTCAACACTAACCAAATGCACAGAGAATTACCTCTTAACCTTTCTGAGGTCAACTATATGAGAATCTGACGATAGCTATAGACGCCTTCAATCACGGGCCATGTATGTTTACACGTACAAACTGCAGGGTGCAGTACCAGAAGACTCACAGATCTGGGGCCGAGCCAGTTTCCCCTGGTGTGGGGGGAATCTTTGGACCTTAGAAAACTTTAGAGTGAGAGTTAAGGAAATGTAAACACCCAGGTATAACCAGCTACTTTAAAACAATTATTTTTATTGTCACTTTGTTTTTAAAAATTACTGTTTAATTCACTTTTTTATAAAAAAATGTTTAATTTTTCAGAACTTGCGGTGGGGTATGGCTCAGTGATATAATGCTTGCCTAGCATGTGTGAGGTCCTGAGTTCCATTCCCAGCAGCACGCACAGACCCACACCCATACCCACCGCCCCCCAAACCCCATTACCTGAACTTGACCTTGTTAGAATAGCATCCTGAGTCACCCACTTTGTCACTGCCCTCATGGGTCACCACGGGCCTCTGATAGTGGCCGTCAGTAGGGCACAGATGTGAAAAGGTTCTGTCATTCTCATGCCTGTGTGGAGCTGACCCTCCCATGTCTTAGTGATATCTTTGTCAGATGGTGGAAATGTTCAGGCTGTTCCTGTCACTGATCTGCACCCAGTCCTGTCCACTTGGAAGCACAGCGATAGGTCCGGCTCAGAGCTCTCGTGTCCTGTTTTTCTGATCCCCTTCCCTGTCACCTGCAGTTTGCATGGGTAAGCATGTGTGGCCCTTTCTGTGTAGGTGTCAACATGCCCATGCTCCCATGGGACAGGTGTGGCTCCCCAAGGGCCTCCCCATGGCTCCAACCCTGACGTGGTCATGACTTCCCCTGTCTTGGCAGCCACCACCTGCATGCACCCATGGCTCTGACGCACCCATGGGCCCTTGCGCCTGGTGGGGGATAATGCCTGAGAGGTCCCTTGCTTGGTGGGAGGTTGGCACACCTCTGCCGTATAGCTGGTGGAACCCAGGCCCCTCCCAGCAGGCCCTGGGGGTGTCACCCTGCCCCTCAGTCTAGTCATCACTGACCTTGGGCAGTGAGTGCCAGATGACTGCTGAGACCCTGGATGCCACGGGCCAGTTTCGCCACCTAGCTCCTCTGAGGCCAGGGACATTTTCACGCTCATGGCTGCCGCTCACTGGGCACGCACCATTGTCCAGGTTTGTCTGCCAGAGGCTCTTCTGTGTAGAGAGGGGTGGGAGGTGCCCCTGGTGCAGCCTTGCCAGTGCCTCTGCCCAAGCTCTCGGGGATGTTCTTTTATTTTTTTCTTTTTTAGGTAGAAGTGACAAACATATTCCTTTTCTTGTTATTAGTGTTTCCTCCAGCGTGTTCCAGTAATGGCAGCATCTGATCTTATTTGATCCCACTCTTGGCCATGGTCTGAGCCCTGCACACCCCCTTCCTCTTCACCTCAAAGGGAAAGCCTTTGTATGTGGCCACACTGTCGTCACTGGTGTACAGGTCAGGCTGGATCTGCTCCCAAATTTTCTTTTTAGGATTTAGCTCCTTGTCAGGCTCTCTGGGGTAAGCATCAAAAGTGACTCTGTCTCCAGGAACAGACCCTCCAGGAGGAGCGAGGATTTTGGTTTTCTCCGGTGAACTAGCGCACATTACCATTGCCTGAGACAGGACCCCCCTCATCTTTGCAGGCTTCAGGTTGCAAAGCAAAATCACCATCCGATTTTGCATCTGTTCAAGAGGAACATGATTCACTAGACCACTGACAACTGTTCTTGGGGCTGTTTCTCCAACATCT